CTAAAGTACATTTCACTGTGCTCTATTGTATGAATAGTGACGTGAAATTAAGTCAGTGTAGACTGCCAACTTCCTACAGCATCAAACATACATTTCCTGCTCCCCTTTCTCACAATGCAGCAAAACGACTGTTTCTTGGGACATCCCCTCCAGTCCATTGGCATCACACCATTTCGATTCCCACCATAGTCACTATCAAGTCAAACACTGCATGAAGAACACTGCAATGAGCTTTAAAAATTGGGATCATTTAAGTCAGTGTTCCTAAAGTGTGTGGCTTGACGGACTAGCTGGGTGAATGAAGATGATATATCAATTAGGATGTGAGGAATGAGAGTGGTTTAGTTTTCTTGAAAGGTGGCTTAGCTTTCAAAAGTTTGGGAAGCATTTTCTTAATATATCGCTTTCCCTTTGTTCCTATACAGGAAAGCACTGTACAAAAATACAACATGTGTATCTCCCTCAATAAACCAAGATATACACATTGTCTCTCACACAGAACACATAACTCGTGTAATGTGCTTCAGTCTAATGTATACAATCCTTGTAATTTTTGTTAGCTATATAAAGTATTTCCCAATCCTCCCACTTCAAGGAACCATTACTAAACAATATTTTAAATTTGTCTTCACCTTTCAAAGCACAAGGCAACGAAACCTGGCTATTTGAATCAGGTCAGTCATTTAATTTAGAAAGATGTACAAAACCACCTTTTAATTTACAGACCCAAGTCATTTTACGGGACAGTAACAGTTGAGCTCTACAATGAACTGAAATGTCAGAACACTTAATAAGTCAAGTGAAGACATAAGGTGCCAGAAGCTACTGTTATAGACACAATCTCATTTTCCCAGTCTTCCATCATTTCTTTCGAGACACTCAAATGTTTTTTCTTCCCTCAAGGTTTCTTTTCACATCAGTAAATGTTACTCTTAGATTGCCATGCATTTCTATGAAAAATCAGGATAGATGCGGTGGAGAGGAAGATATCTTGCATCGTTAGTGGGGGGTAATGTATTTTAAAAGGTATTTCTAGATCTCTCTTGGTCTGTTCATCAGCAAATCCATTTTCTTTATTTAAAAAAGTCTGCCTATGACATGCATCCACTGATCTGGGATGTTCAAAATCCACAGAATTGGGGTTCAACAGCACTCTCAGTTATTGCCCTTCTTTCTTTTAATTAAAAAAACCCTCTCTTTATATTATAAGTAAACTGAAGTGAGTTTCTGAAACTAATTTGTCAACTAAAAGAACCTTCAAACAGCTGTATCCATGCAACACTATGTACACAGTTGTACTCCAAAGAGAATGGCACAACTAACTTCCTCCATGTCTTTTGTGAGAAACATAACACTACATCATGATATTTGTATCATCAACATTAAAAATGCTATCATGGCAGTCAGGTAATTCTGTTAACCTTTCACCCAACCTTAACTGTGCCCCATGGTGTATTATAACATCGTAGGAGTTGGCTGTATTAAAAAAGAAACACTCAAAATACACGTCAAGCCTTCTTTCTATTGGCAACTCTCAAAGTTCCTCTCAGCTTGCACCCTAGTTATCTCTCTCTCTTGAGTGACTCCCAACTCCCTTATATTCAGACAGGTTACGGGGCACTTGTAACAGTGGGTCAATGAAACACATAACCATTTGCCAGCAGACTCACCATCTGATAACAGAGAGGCTCCCAGGCAAACACTGCCCGCCAGCAAGCACGTACTGCAGACCATTATGTTCCCATCTGCTGAGGGTTCAAAGCCAGCATTCAGCAACTGAGACAGCCAACCCAGCTCACAGATAAGAGATACTCCTCAGGTTTTACATCGATGTGTGTAAACTCCATTCTAATAACATTTCCAAAACCCCACCAGAAAAAACAAAAAAAAACCCTGGAGGATATCCGCAATTAAAATGACAACAGTAGTAAATAGTTCACCTCTGTATGCAAGAGAATCAAATCAATAAAATGAAGAGCAAAGTACTGTCTGCCAAACCTGCATAGGAAATGGAAAAGAAGGAGGAAGCCCAGCAAGAAGAGAGAGTTAATTAAGACTTGCAGGAAAGAGATGATTATTTAAAAAGTGGGGGGGAGGGATGACTTGAGTAGAACAGGAAGAGCTTTTACAACAAGAAGTCAGGTAAAGGGAAATACTAGACAGAAATAAGAATAATACTGATAATTTATATATTGCTTTCCATGAGTAGATCATAGTGCACCTCACAGGAAGTATCATTCCTATTTTGCAAATAAGTAAGTAGGCCCATTAATACATTAGAATTCTGTAATGGATTAAATGAACTGCTTTTTAAGCCTGAATATGCGCAGCTCTGGTAGCTTAACCCCTGCTCCATCCAGGTAGAATGTGAAGGATATTCTTGAGATTAGAAATTTAGAGCTTTCTCTGGTGAAATCTCCAGATCCATACTTTTTAAAAAAATGCATGATGAGGAAGATATGACCCCTAGAATTCTGCATCTGTTCTGCGTCCCCTAGTATCAGAAGGATAGTTAAACTGAAGCAAATGCAGTGAAGAGCAGCATGGTTCTTTAAGGTCTGGAGAACTCATTTGAAGAGGGAGTGAAAGATTAGGTATCAATTGGGAGACATAAAATCTTAGCTATTTGAAGGATGTAGCACCAGGGAGGGAGCGAAATTCATTAGGTGGTATGAGAGGCCATGAACTATTATTACCTCATGTTAGTATTTAGAATACTCTCAATCAGGGGTCAGATTTGAGGTTGGGTGTTTCTAACAAAATAAACTGGACAGATACAGACAGGTGCGCACACACCCCTGCGTAAGCTTGAAAGGCTGTTTCTTCCACTCCCAGAAGCTGGTCCAATGCAAGAAATTACCTCATCCATCTTGTCACTCTCATATTCCAGGACCAAAACACAGCTACAACTAGGGATGTAAAAGGTTAACCAGCCACCTGGTATGCATTATCCTTACCGGCATGCTTACCTAGTAGCCAGTTAACTGGAGGGTCAGGCACGGCAGGAACAGCCCTCCTTAGTTAACTGGTTAAATGATTCAAATTATCTCTCTCTATATATAAAAAAGTTTTTCCTGCTGGAAAACATCACGTCATCAGTGTCAACAGACTCTCCCAGTGAAGCCAAAGTGGCCAGAGGGGGGTATAGGCGAGCATAGCGAGCAGAGGGCGCAGACCCCTAGTATTGTTTAACCAGTTAACTTTAATGGGTTTTCACATCCCTAGCTACAACACTGCAATCACACTCCTTCTCCTATTGCCAACAAAAACAGATAGACCAGCAGCAGCATGAAGGATCGAACCACCGGATATAACAAAGAGGAGACATTCTCATTCACTCTCTCATATTAATATTTATATATTTTAGAGCATGTCTGCCTGCGAGTCCGTTTGTTCAAGAACTTCTCCTAAACAGTAAGAACTAGGGCTACCAGATTTGGTAGGCAGCCTCCTCTTCTCATAACTTAAATCAAGGTCAGGGTCTGGTTGTGCCAGGACAACTGGAAACCCCAGGGAAAGGACTGTTTTCCATGGCATGGAAAGGGAGGGGCTGCTTTCGGAGGGGCATGATATGAGAGTGGCCATTGGGAGCAGCGAGCCAGCAGGGGAGAGCTATCCTGCAGAGTGCCCACTGGGGGCAGATGCATCACCAAAGGAGTGATCAGCAGGGCTGGGGCTCCGCCATCTTGTCTGCCAGCACACTAATAAATAGTCCTCCTACCCAAAACCCTTCCCCCCGATCCTGGCCATTGGCCACAGCACTGGGGGAGGGGACAACATGTCCCTGGTCCCCAGACTCCTGAACCCCTACTCCACACACATTCCCAAGGCCCTGCCCTGAAGGAGCCAGGCAACGCTGGGTAAGTCTGCTAGCATCAATATAATTTGAAGCTGTTAGAGTAAAATGTCTAAGTTTTAAAGGCAACTCACACACTTGAAAATGAAGTCAGGGAAAATAATTGTCCTAACTTGACTTCAATGCACAAGTGCAGACCCAAACGGAATCTTGAGCCAATCCTGGCATATTCTGCTGAGTATTTTTGTCCAACATTTGCATAATTCTAAAGAGGCTTGCCTATGCCATACCCCTGAAGACTGGCCCCAGTGCAAACAGGTCTCTGTCTAGATTTGGAATGCTCCTCCCAAATTCTGTATTTAATTAAAGGCTGAATTTAGAACATATGGCTCCCATCCCACTCTTATCCAAAAAGGAGCTTATATACAGTATTCACAGCTATGACAATGTAGTACTTATACACTATGTAGTGGTCCATAATTATTGTACTCGGACTGGGACATGAACATTTTTAAAGGCAAACCCACCTGCCCCCCCTAGTCTGACTTGACAATGATCCAGTCCACACTTCATCTTTTTGTATTCTAGGCATGTATCATTTATACAGCTGATCCAACCCCTCCCGCCAAAATATTTTTAACAAAAATACCAATGAACATCTTTATTAAACTAAAGCCAGTGCACGACATGATCTCCCACCAAAAGGTCAGGAAAACACGTGCAAACTGCCAGGTAGAAAGTGATATGCTGAAGCTATAGTGTGGAAAAAATAAATTCCCATCTCCAAAACATGAGATGGGTTGGGAAAACCTAGAGCACAGATGGAATGTTCTTCTCAGCATGCTACACCAGCTCAAACTTCACAAGTCACAAAGTGACAGTAATGAGACATTATTGCTGTATATAACAAAGCCAATAGGGGAATCACCACCCATTATTACCTGTGGGTGTCAGTATGGCAAGCCAGAAAAATTGAGAACAATAAGGGAATGGAAGTAGGGGAAAAAAAGATTACAAGATGAGTCTCCTTAATCAACTAAAAGATCATCTCAAGTGAAATATACATGTACTTAAAAAGACCAGAGATATTTCATTTAAAGTTAGCTTTTGGCTCTGGAAAACAACCACTAGTCTATAAAAGAAATGCAATCTGCAAAAGAATGACATGCACCTTCCCTCAAGGGGAAATTTACACAGATCTCACCTTGTCACTGTCATCATTACAAATGTGGTCTTGATGGATTGACTGGCATTGGAAGGAAGCACCAGTACCACCTAGAAGAGAAAAGAGAATGAAGGGAAAAAAATAATTAGAATTGGAAACCCGAGCTGAAGGAATACTAAAAATAAATACAGACAAGTGTAGGAGCCAGAAATTCTTTCACACAGCAGAGAGATTTAGTTGCCAACATCTATGTCAGACAGCTCTCATATTTAATTCTGATGGGCTAAGCAGCAGAGACATTTATTCCTATGTGCCAGAGATATCGTCTCCCAGACTTTCTTTAAAACATTGTAAAAGAACAAAATTAGCAGTTGTTCATTAATCCAAAACAAAACATATGCCACAATGCTGCAAAATACACGCACCCAAACATAAGTCAAGAAGATCTACACTCTCTACTCTAACACCCCCCTCTACTCTGCAACCCAGTTATTAACACAATGGATAGGTGACACTTTGGGGAAGAGACACTATTTCCACGTATTAAGACAACTTACAATAGCTAAGATCAAGAAGCAGAGAATCATCATTTTATTGATAATATTCTTGTTCAGGCTGGAATTCTCCCCTCCCCCAAACAGCTTCATGCAAGTCTTTTCTATCTATATTCTTATATGTGACAGGCTACTGAGTAATGCATCAACCCTGCAAGGGCTTGATACTGAAAGACCACAAGACTCGTGAATGAGAGGGAAGGGGCTACTCGAGTTCATCCTAATATGGCTTTTTGTGAATAGCAAAATCTGACCTCCTTGTACAGTACAAGCAAAGTTTTGTGAAGTCTTTATTTCATGCATTTGTTTCCTCCATGAAAGGAACATGGTAACATTCCCAGCAATGTAATCTGGCTTAGCAAAAAGAGTAAAAGACTCTGCTGATGTCCCCTTTTTATTTTTTGGAATTTAATAAAGCCAAATTAAAATATATAACAGTGACTGACAACATGCAAACACAATTTTATTTTAAAAATTGCTCTAACTCATAAGCCCACAAGCACATATTAAGTTTGCAAATACAAATGAAGGTTGTCAAGTTACTCTTTTAGTAAGCCAAGGGTAATCATTCCTTTCCATTCCCTTCTATGCTATCCTCAGAGTGACATTATTCTAGTATGCCTTACCCAGACATTTAAGTATTTTATTCTACTAGAATGTAAAACATTAGTGCCAAATTATTTTTCTTTTTGATCACTGACCTAGGATAAGGGTTTGGAAAGTTTATTAGTGACAAAATAATTTGTTCTGATCCACGTAAGTGTTTTCTCTCTCCTATAGCTCATAACATCAGACTATTCTCAACTTCAATGCCAACATGATTTTAGCAGAAGTTTCCTGGGACTGCTAGAGTTGAGATACACACTTTATACCTTTGGAAAACTGGGGGTTCTCAGCTATATTGAGATAGCACAAATGATCAGATTTTACTTTTTAGCAGTTTCAGTCTGAAGAACTGCCTAGTCATGCTGGAAATGAAGTAGGCAAAAACTGAAGATGGTAACCAGAATTATTAAAAGTCTGAAACAGTTATCAACATGCAAATGAATACATATACTAAGCCTGTATGTGATAACAGTGGACAAAAATTGCTTTTCCCAACATGGAGCAAGAAACTTAATAAAGTAAGGAAAGAGTTCCAAACAAGAGTAAGGTTCGAAATAACGAGGTCAATTCAGTCAGGAAGGATGAGACCCACTTCTAGCAGCTGATGTGGATGTGTGAACACCAAGAGAGCTGGTGGCCAAGCTCTGTGACTTTATCCTCACACACAACTATTTCAGATATGGGGACAATTTATACCTCCAAACCAGTGGCACCGCTATGGGCATTCACATGGCCCCACGATATGCCAACATTTTTATGGCTGACCTGGAACAATGCTTCCTCAGCTCTCGTCCACTAGCGCCCCTCCCCTCCTTTCTCTACATTGATGACATCTTCATCATCTGGACCCATGGGAAGGAGGCTCTAGAAGAATTTCACCATGATTTCAACAGTTTCCACAACACCACCAACCTCAGCCTGGACCAGTCTACACAAGAGATCCACTTCCTGGACACTACAGTGCAAATAAGTGATGTTCACATAAACACCACCCTATACCGAAAACCTACTGACCGCTATGCCTACCTACATGCCTCCAGCTTCCATCCCGGACACACCACACGATCCGTTGTCTACAGTCAAGCATTAAGGTACAACCGCATTTGCTCCAAGCCCTCAGACAGAGACAAACACCCACAAGATCTTCACCAAGCATTCTTGAAACTAGAATACCCACCCGAGGAAGTGAGGAAACAGAGTGACAGGGCCAGACGTGTACCCAGAATCCTCCTGCTACAAGACAGACCCAACAAAGAAAATAACAGAACACCACTGACCATCACCTACAGTCCCCAGCTAAAACCTCTCCAACGCATCATCAGTGATCTACAACCCATCCTGGACAACGATCCCTCACTCTCACAGACCTTGAGAGGCAGACCAGTCCTCGCCCACAGACAACCCACCAACCCAAAGCAAATTCTCACCAGCAACTATACACCATACCGCAGTAACTCTAACTCAGGAACCAATCCCTGCAACAAACCTCGGTGCCAACTCTGCCCACATATCTATACCAGCGACACCATCACAGGACCTAACCACATCAGCCACACCATCACGGGCTCATTCACCTGCACATCTACCAATGTAATATACGCCATCATGAGCCAGCAATGTCCCTCTGCTATATACATCGGCCAAACTGGACAGTTCCTACATAAAAGAATAAACGGACACAAATCAGATATCAGGAATGGTAATATACAAAAATCTGTAGGATAACACTTCAATCTCTCTGGACACACAGTAGCAAATTTAAAAGTAGCCAGCCTACAACTTAAAAAAAAAAAAAAAAAAAAAAACTTTAAAAACAGACTTCAAAGAGAAACTGCTGAGCTACAGTTCCTCTGCAAATTTGACACTATTAGTTTAGGATTAAACAAAGACGGTGAATGGCTAGCTAACTACAAAAGCAGCTTCTCCTCTCTTGGTGTTCATGCCTCCACATCAGATGCTAGAAGTGGGCCTCGTTCACCCTGACTGAATTGACCTTGTTATCTCTAACCTTACTCTTGATTGGAACTCTTTTTTTATGCCCAGAGCTCCACAAATAATACAATCTACTCGCCTATGGCGAGTAGATTGCAACCTGGAAGAGCTGGGTTCGGGTGATCTGCGCATGCGCAGATCGCCGGACAACGCGGCTGGCGAGCAGGGCTCACCGCGGGTTCGGCGAGCCCTGCTTATGCCTGTATATTTATACCTGCCTCTGGAATTTCCACTACATGCATTTGACGAAGTGGTCTTTACCCATGAAAGCTTATGCACTAATAAATCTGTTAGTCTATAAGGTGCCACAGGACTTCTCGTTTTTGCAGATTCAGACTAACGCGGCTACCCCTCTGATACTTAATAAAGGTAAAGAAAAGTCTAATCTGGAAGCTATGTCGTCACTCTGCTTCATGCCCAGAACTTCTCTTAGCCCCTTTCCTCCTGCTATAGTTTTGAAGGATGGTGCACAGATTCCTGCTTTGAACGACTACTCCAAGTCATTTCACAACCACCCTTCTTAATAGAGCTCTGAAAGCCACGATCTGCTCCAGCCATAAGACGATCCCTCAGAAAGCTTGTAAGCCTGCTTAAAAAAATCACAGGAAGATAGCCAGAAGTAACTGCTACTATAGGATCTCTCTAGACATCTTTCCTGTTATCAAGACTTTCAGAAAAGTCACATTTCCTTGTGTATCATTCTTCTCTACAGTGACTATTTTACCTCCTTTTACTTAAGCATATGCAGTGTTTAATTGCATTCACATTACACTAAGAAAAAACAAGGAATTTCCAGAAGAGGAAAAAGCAGACTACAAAAGATTCGGTCCCCTCTCCCATTCTTTCACCCACACTCTTAAAGCAGAATATGTTCTTGTCGCTTATGCAGCCGTGCACCCAGAATATATAATGGTCTGTATTTTCACAGCAATTGCTTCTGCTATTATGCCACAGGAATTTTAATGACTTGGGGTTTTTTAGGTTTCCCTTCTTTTACCATTTTTACATATTCTTCTTTTCTTATGATCTAGCAAAGCGTATGGAAAAAGCAGTATGCTATTGTACAGTCTCCACCCGAACAGTCAGTGAAAACAGTTGAGCCCTACCCAATACTTGGCCTCTGGATGTTGTTCATTGATGGAACAAGGCCAATTCACATCGTTTTAGAATTGAATCACATCACTTACAGACTATCTAACTTTACCACAGCTACTGGGAAACAGTTCACGTCATGGTTACATATAAATACTGTTTTGGGGATTTCCAAGTTTCATAAAATTTCCAGTTTTGCTGGCCAGAATATTAACGTTTCACATGCTGGCTGAACACAATTAAACTGGAGAAAAAAACCCACCACTTTAAAGCACATTTCCTCATCACCTAAACTCGCTTTTCATCTAAACAAAAGCATTCTTTCTCCACCACAAAACAAAACCACACACACTAACATTCTTGCAAGAAACTTAACTACATCTACAAGAAAATTCTGCTAAGATGCCCATCTCCCCTTATTTACTGGAACAAAGTAGGCTGCCCACTGTGTTCTGAAAGGTACTGTTAAACATTTGTCCAAAAACATCATATGCTTATAATTTCTCTTCTCCATGTTTGTGTTCTCCTTTAAATCTGACATATTTGTTAAGTTAGCTTTTGATGCATAGTGTCAGAAGAGCAGAACTACTTTTAATGCGTTAACTACGCAAATACGCTTTAAACGGTGCTGTAAAGCAAGCAAACTCCGGGTATGTACTCTGTTCAGAAGGCAATTTACTTAGGTTCATTTTTTATACTCATGACATATCTGGCTACTTGATCCAAGCGGGTTGCCCCTTATGCCACTGCAAATCCTGTTGCAGGATCAGAGCCTGAGTTTATTGGTGTGAAATTTTACTTTACTAATGAATATTATTTTTGATGTCTTGAGCATCTGAATGAGTTGCAAAGATCTCTCAATTTTC